TCGCGGCTGGAGACCACGGCCAGCTTGTCGTTCCTCATCTGAACCACGAAGGTGCTTTGGTCTGGTGGACGGGCCGTGCCCACCGCACCCACTGCAGCCCCACACCCCCTGGCACATGAACACGGAGCGGATTCCCACTGGCCTTGTCATGTGTGGGTTTATTTGCCCCATTAGTCCCAGACTCACTCAGCTCACGCCCAGCCTCTAGCTCACTTATTAAGCACCACTGTGCCAGTTCGAAGACATGGCGTGCCTATGTGTTGACCAAGTGAACCCTAATCTTCTAACCCTGAATCCCAGATTCAACCTGCTGCAGCACACAGACCACTCAACACACTAACACGTCAGTTTAACTCAAGTCTGCTCACCCTATTCTCAGCATTGGGTGGACTTTAAACCCAATATTCCAGCTGTCTTTGTTTTCCAAGACCATTGTACCAAAGTACAGCAAACTGCATGGTTTAAACCACAGAAATGTCTTCTCACACTCCTGGAGGCCAGAAGTCCAGGATCAAGGCGTCCAGGGGGCTGGTTTCCTCGGAGGCTGGGAGAGCGAGGCCGGCTGTCTCCCAGCTCCGGCGGCTGGCTGGCAACCTTCAGGGTCCCTTGGCTGGTTCAAGCACCACTCCAGGTCTGCCTCCATCCTCCCGGGGTGTTCTCCCTGCATGTGTCTGTCTGGGGCCCAATCTCCCTCTTCTTATGAGGATACCATCCCCCTGGAGGGCCCGCCCTGTCCAGTGAAACCTCATCTTAACTAATCGCATCTGCAACAGTCTTATTTCCAAATAAGGTCACATTCTGAGGTCCTGAGGGTTAGGACTTCAACAATGAATCTGGCAAGTCCATGACACCAACATACATGTCAGTCGTTGTTGACTCAGAGTCCCTCGTTCCGCTCAGCCAGGTCAGGACTCACCCAGAAGCCCCTTCCCTCTTTTCTTGTCTCCTTCTCAGCAGTGTGGGGTCACTAGGAGGTTGTAGCCTCACTGGTGTCAGGAGACCTGACATGATGGCCAGCTTTTGTGCCTTCCAGCTCACCCAGACCCTTTCACACTAAAGCCACCATGCAGGTTCTCTTCCCAGCGGTACGTGAATTCTTGGGAAGCCAAGTGTATAAATGGGGACTCATGCCATCCAGGAAGTCCTATAAGAAAGGTGCGTAACGTATCACATGGGGTATCTTGCTAAGCCTGAACCTGCATGTGCTTCCAGGTCGTGGGGGCAGGGCAGCAGGGCAGTGCGTCTGGGCTGTGCACGTGAGCACCCCAGCCCTGGGAGCAGATCTCGCCCCTGAGCCTGCATGTCAGAGCTTCCTAGGCAGCTCCCATCACTGGCTCCCTGCTGGGCTGGTGGACGGGACAACTCCAGAAACGAAAGCATGGGCCTGACTCCTTCCTCTTGACCTCTGGACAAGCGGCCACAGCAGAGGCCCAGGTTAGACAGTTGCATCATGGCTGTGGAGGGGTCCTGACAGCTCGCTGCCTCCACCAGCTCCTGGCCGATACAGACGCCCGAGGACTCTCGCTCCCTGCAAGAGGCCATTCTTGGCTCACCTTTGCACTTGCAGTCCCAGGAGCAGCTCTGTGAACTGGGGGCAGCAAAAAATATCTTACAGATGGATCCCCCATCATTGCTCTGAACATTCCTTGCCAGTGTGCCTGGGAGAACAGGCTTCCAGGACACACGGAGCCGGCTCAGCATTGTCACCATGAACACGCGGGGCTCATCACAGCCTGGAGCACTGTGCCCAGGGTGTCTGATGCGCAGCAGGCAAGACTGTGTGCAGCCCACCTGGGAGCTTACTCAGGGGCCTGGACAAGGCAGTGGAGACGGGACCTCTGCCCTCCTGGCAGGAGGAGCTGCGCCCTTGGCTTCTTCCCAGTCGGGGCTCCTTCCTGGCAGGAGCAGCTGTGCACAGCCCCTTCCCTCAGGTTTCTCCTGCAAACCTCCACCACTTACTCAGTCCAGCCTGCCTGCACCCCGAGCAGTCATATGTCCCCCACCCCCCACGAGGCTGCTCTGACACCTTGCCATTAGGAGAGACAGGAGAAGGGCAGGGATCTTTCTGGAGTGTCACCCCCAGCAGGTCCAGGGCGTCCTGGCCCAGGAACACTTCTGCCTGGGGACAAGAGAGGGAAACTGTCCTCTGGTAACCCTGGTTTCCCAGCTCCCTGAGCCGCACCAAGCAGTGGGGGCCCCTCCCCGAGCCCTGGGGTTTGGCAGCATGCTGAGAGTTCTCCCCCCACCTTCCCACCAAGGCAACGCAAAGTTTCTCTAGGAAGGGAACTTGAGTCCATGATGGATCAGTTAGTGCCTGATGCCTTCAGGTTGAGAAGAAATCTCAACTATACGGCCTGCATCCTCCTCAGTTTCCCACAGGAACGGAGCTCCCATCTCCCAAACCCCATGACTGATCCAGTGGGATCATCGGGCAGGTGGTGAAGCGCCGTCTTCTCATGGGGATGGTGGCGCCCCAGGAGGCTGAGGGGCTTGCTTCCCCATGTACCATGAGTAACTAACAGAGGCAGGACTCAAATCCAGGCCTGGGGACTTGGGACAACCAGTCTTTCCATCTTGTATTCTTCTTTATCCCCTCATCTACAAATCCATATGCCATTATTTCCTGCTTCTCAATTTAATCTCAAATATGTAGTTTATAAATATGTACTTTATAAATCAAGAGTAAAGATTCCACGACAAGCTCTGAATCATTTCATTTCAGCCTGAATAAAGTGACTACCCACGCGCACATTTGTAATTCAGCGTGGCACCCACCTGAGTACATGCCTCCCGTTGTACTAAGTCACCTATGCAGCCCACTGGCGGCCATTACCCTCTGGACGGTTCTGATGACCATCATATTTGGTGAGTAGAGGTACACTTTAGTTTTCATTTTAAATATTTAAGTAAGAGCAAGAGTGAGGACCCTGGGACACAAAAATTATCTTCTAATTAAAACCTGAAATTGTACTGGGCCCTTATTTTTTATACCAGGTACTAATGTGACTTTTCCCTCCAGTTCTTTGGGTAGGATTTTTTCTGAGAAAAAAATGTAAGCATGAAATTCTCTTTCATAAATCAGGCACTCGGTCTGGTTTGCCCTCAGGAGACAGGCGGAAGGATGCAGGGTTGAAGCGCAGACGAGGAATGAATGAAGAGACACAGTCTGTAGCTCAGACTCGGGAAAATGAAGGTGCAGGTGTAAAGCGACACTAAGCTTTCAGATGGCCAGTTAGCAGGCTTCCGGGGCTCTTCTTAAAAACGCTCTAGGATGCCGGGCTGCTTTCTGGTTTTACATCGCAATCCCATCTTACTACCACCACCTCCGGAGGAAGGAATGGCTGTGGTTTAAGGCTTGAAATTCGGGCTCAGTAGTATCTGCTGATGTGACATCTGGTAGAATTCGGAGGCCTCAGTGGCCTAGCCCTGAGCCCCGCACCCACCCTACTCCCACAGAGAAGACCCCTCCCCAAAAGCCCTCTAAGCGCAGGGACCGCACGGTGCCCACTTCTCCCTGCACGGTGTGTTTCGGCTCCCCACCAGCCTGTGGAATCACCCGACCCTCTCTCTTGCTGCTGTGGGAACTCACATTGCTACAAAGCCTGCCTCCCACAGCCCCGTTGTTCACTCTGCCCCCAGATTCCACCCCATCGAGGCCCGCGTGGTGCTGGTGCCCTCCCCCCAGCAGGAAGTATGCATGGCGAGTGAACTGTCCGTCCGTCCGTCCAGGGCCCGCTGGCCATCCCCCCCTTGACCGCCACGCCCCAGTGACCACCAGCCGCTCCCACCCTCCGCACTTCCCTTCCTCTCACCCTTCTTTCTCCTCTGCATTTCTTTACATACAGCTTTTCTCTTGCACTGTGAGAATTCTGCTAAATTTCCCAACCCACCATGCTCGGATCTGCAGGGCTGCCCGACATATATGTTACATAGTCCTCCTTCCACAGACAATGGTAGGAGCCCCTGCGCGTCTCCCAGTTGGTTTTCCTGCCCAAACAGGTCTTCAGCCAGAGGCCTGGGTCCAACCCTGACCCCTGCTGTCCATTTGCATCGTCTGGGTCGAGCCATACAACTTCTGTGGATCCCAGTTTTCTCATATACAAAGTTAGGATAATAATACTGACTGCATAGAATTGTGGAATATTTTAAAAGACAGTATGTCAAGAGCTTAGCACAGGACTCGGCACAGAGTTTCCGACCTACCGCTGGGATATTTGGACCCGCCAGCCCCGTCACCCCTGGCTTTGTGCTCCTTTCCCGAGGCTCACATCCCCACTGCTGGAAACCGGAGACCTGCCCTCCTACCCAACAGGGCCCTTCGTGTCCGGCTTCTTTCCCCTCCCTAGGCTTAGACGGGATTACCTCCGTGGTTTTTAAACCTAGAGGAACCTAAGCATCACCTGTCATGGGCCTGAGGTCACACAGATGCCAGAGCCTCCCCACCCCCCCGGCTCTCAGAATCCCCACCTCTAAGAACACCGTGCTTAGCAGGGGTGTGAGGACATGCTGAGCTGACTGGGGCTCATCTACGCCCGCCCTGCATGAGTCTGTGGCTCTAGGTTCCCTCTCTGTCCTTCTGATTGTCTGAAATGCAGTCCTTTCACACTGGTATAAAAGCCAAAGGCCACGTACATAAAAGTGGTTAAATTCTGCCTAGTGAGCTTGTGCGTAATTCTCAGGACTATTCCCTGGATAGAAATGGAATGTTTTGACCAGAGAGGGTGGGTTTTTAACTCAGCCACAGAGGAAGAGGAACAGAAATTGTGAAAACTTCCCAAACTCCTCTTTCAGGGCCCCAGTGAGGAAACTCAGAGATGCAGGTGCTCACTTATTTGAGTTTTCTGTAATAATTGTGTAACATTTGTCTCATGCAAAAAGACACTGAAAAGCCAGCCACGTTATTTGCGATCTCTTCTGTGTGGGATGAATATAGATACTTATAAATCTCCTAGACACGAGCAGACAGCATCAATAACCTTGAATGATGGTCCAGCACTAACTTGATTAAGAAGAATTAATCCTGCAGGCTCTGCAGTGACAGGTGTGTCGTCCACAGAGCCTCGTCAGCACTTCAGATCCGTCCCCACTGACGAAGATGGGACATTTGGGAAGACCAAATTTATGTGGTCCGACACCATCTGACAAGATCTGCTAAGATGAAGCGACCTCCCCACCCTGGAAAAAAAGAGCAGTCAGTTAGGAGGGCAGCGGGCAGGCAACGCTCCTGTCCCCAGCCTCTGAAGTCGGAGAAAGATGAACTTGACAGAGAAGCCCCGGAGCGAGCCTCCTGTGTGACGGGCGGGGCGAGTCCCCAGGGCCGCTGCCCCCAGTGGCCTGCAAACCGTCCCAGCTCATGAGAGGCAAGGGTTTTGTGCCGGAACACCAGTCACCTACATCGCTAAGCACACTGGGTTTGGGGTGGGGTTTTTTTAAGCACGCTGTTTAGTGCAGCTATTTCACAGCAAGACTTTCTTGAGGAAGGAAGCACCCAGCTGCTCTCGGTTTTGATACAAGCTCCGGCCCTCCTCTGTGGCTGGTGCAGAGGGGGCGCTCCAAGGGGCACCCAGCTGGCATGACCTCCTCCCTCACCGCCCCCACCCTGTCGTGCCTGCCGGGCATGCTGGCCGGCCCCCCATGGGGCCAGGGCACTCACTCCTCCAGCTGACAAGTGCCAGCTGCCCACAACACACAGCCAAGCCCATCACCGGTGGTCACTCCAACCAGGGGGGATGACTCACCCCGGGCCACACCTCCCTGGGGAGGGGCCTCAGTTTGGACAATTCTTGAGTCACCCCGAGGCCTCTGCCGTGGGATCTTCTTCTGCCAAACCCTGCTTCCTCCACTGCTCACAGGCACTGCTCCCCAAACCCTGCTTCCTCCGCTGCTCACAGGCACTGCTCCCCAAACCCTGCTTCCTCCACTGCTCACAGGCACTGCTCCCCAAACCCTGCTTCCTCCACTGCTCACAGGCACTGCTCCCCAAACCCTGCTTCCTCCGCTGCTCACAGGCACTGCTCCCCAAACCCTGCTTCCTCCGCTGCTCACAGGCACTGCTCCCCAAAGCATGACCACCACCACCTCCACAGAAACTCACTGAAGGAAGATCTCTGCATCTATTTACCAGGACCTGTAACCTACAGCATTCCCTTCTCACCAGACACAGGAAGGAAGGGAGGGAGGGAGGGAGGGACGGGCCCGCCCTGTTCCTGTTTGGGCCTCCTGCTCCACCTCAGACCTTAGCTCTCCAATCTTGACCCCTGGTCCATTTGGCCTGGAACCTGCTGGCCTCACCTCTACTTTGGACCCTGAAGAATGAGCCAGAACATTCCTTCCTGGGGAGCCCAGCTCAGCCTCCTCAGTCCCACCCTGGAATACCGCCAAGATTGAACGTCACTAAAATATAAGTGTAACAGGCAGGACCTTGGTCTGGTTTGTCACCACTGTGCCCCCAGAGCCTGGGACACTGCCTGGCATGCACGTGAGACACGTTAGGGAAGCATGATTGAATGCCTGTGGCAGGTAGTAGGTGACACCCACTTCCAGCCAGAACTGGAATGCCGAGTACCCCACTGAGGCCGAGCCCAGCTGCAGGGTCAGGTTCAACCTAAAGAGGGTATCTAGCCCCCACCCACCTACTACACACATACACACACACACACACACGCTGCCTGAGCCCACCGCTCACTGTCGCCCACCAGTCCGCTCGGCCAAGCCCCAGCCGGAGCGGCCCCTCCCCACAGCATGCGATGCCAGGACACATCCCCTCCCCGGAAGCCAGAGACTTCAGTGCCCCGGGCAGGTGCGGGGGCTTCTCCTCTGCTCTTTCAAACCCTTCCTGCCCAAAGGCTCAGCTTCACCAGCACAGCCTCCATCAAACACGCCTTCAGTCCTCCGGCTGTGAGTGTGGGGGTGGGGGGCGGGGCGGGTAGCTCCTGGGCCAGACCCCCAGGAACTGAATTCAACTGCCACCTTGTAGTGAAACAACAATCAAAGTCTTTAAAATTTAGAGAATGTGTTTCCCATTAAAATTTTGAAAAAACAAAAAACAAAAACTTTAAGTACCCTAAGACAACTAATAGTCTTTTTAATGGACAACACTTTTCTTGAATATTTATTATGATTATTTTAATTTTTAAAAAAGCCCAAATGTCTTTGGGCAATAAGCTAAAATACAATAAAAAGCAGTTTCTTAGTCTTTGTACACAGTTTATTTTTAAACTATCACTAAAAAGTGAAGAAAAGTACGAAATAGATTTTTTCTTGAAAGCTAGAGATGGACTGGGTGGGACTGCCTCACATTCTGCACATTAGCAAAGGGCTGAGTGTTCCCCACCCTGAACGAGTGCTCTGTGTTTGAGAATGGAGTCGCCTAAAAGCTAACTGCCTTGTGGAAGCTTGTGCGGGGCCCTGTGGGCTTCTCAGGCCAACTGAGAATGCTAAAAGCTCTCAGACCCAGTGAGTCGCTGCCTGGTGTGCGAGGAACTGCTCGCCATTTGTATCACCAAAAAACAAACACTGTATCTCCTCTCCACAAATCGGTCATGCCCGAAATTCACTGTAACTTCTTTACACCACTTCTGAGAAACATCATGTATCTTATGACTCCAAGGACCAAAAGGATACTTGTAACGACCATCATTAATATTGGCATCTCCAGCACTTAGACAAGCTTTTGGATGGAAGGATGGATAGAGGGAGGGAGGGAGGAAAGGAGGGAGTGATGGATGGATGGATGGATGGATGGATGGATGGATGGATGGATGGATGGATGGATGGATGCATGGATGAATGGCTGGATGGATGCATGGATGCATGGATGCATGGATGGATGGGTGGACAGATGCATGAATGGATGGATGGATGGATTCATGGATGCATGGATGGAAGGGTGAGCAGATAGGTGGATGGAGGGAGGGAGGGAGGCAGGGATGGGTAGATGGATGGACAGATGGATGGATGGATGGATGGTTGAATGGATGGAAGGGTGAGCAGATGGGTGGATGGATGAAGGGAAGGAGGCAGGGATGGGTAGATGGATGGATGATGGATGGAAGGAGAGATGGGTGGCATGCTGCAATCAGTAAGATAGAAAGAGGGACAGGGGAGCAAGCCTCACAGAGCCCCAGTTTTCAGTGGAGTCGCATGTACAGAAGCACTAGGCACCTGTCTTTGGAACATTACACGCATACAGGCAGTTAATGTTGGCTAACTAAGTAAACCATATAACAACTATTCTACGAAATAAGGATTTTTATGCCCACTTTCTAGGTGCAGAAACTGAGGCTCATACAAACTAAATAACATGCTCAAAATCACATAGCCAATGTTAGAGTCTAGATTCAAACACAAGTCTGTGTGACAGTAAAGCCTCACGCCTCACCAGCTGCCGCTGCAGAAAGCATCAGATGGTAACACCAGAACCGCCGTTGGCCCCTGACGTAGCTCATTGCAGCTGATCCCTCAAGGCCATGTTCACGTGTCCAAGTGTGAGCATGGGGAGCAACAGGTCAGGGGACAGATTTTGACTTTTCCTGAGATTTCCTTTACCTTATGGTAAAAATAATCCATTTCAAGGAGTCCTTCCTGCTGTCCATCAAATCATGGCAGAAACGAGGCTTATTCATGAATTTTTGAGTTGTCATTCTTGGAGTTCTTGAATTCATAAAAAGATAATAATTATCTGGCTCCAAGCTGTTGAGAGAGTTCTTTACGACTGCGTTCTCAATCATAGCATTAGTCACCAGGAATGTCACTAAATCTCATTTGTCATTCTCCTGTGATGTGACAAGCTCTAATGTATTTAAAGTGCAGCAGTGCCATTGGGAGAGACTATCTCCCTCCTTCGGAGGGCATATAAACAAAGCTCTCCCAAGCTACCCATACAGCACATCTTCCCCACCAGATGAGAGCCCACACCATCTGAGGCTGAGTCAGAGAGCCGGTATGGGCTCCAGAACCGTAGGTTTCTAGAATCATAGACTTCTAGAGCTGACGAGAGATCTGAGAGATCCTTGAATCCCCTCACATTATATACATCAAGCCCCAAGGGTCAGAGCAGGTAAGTTAGGACTGTGAACCACGGTCTAGCTTCCTGGCAAAGAGCTCTACAGACCTGACCCCATAGAACAGATGCCACTGGGAAGCCGGGGCCCTCATACACCCTCTCTTCACCTCCCACCAGGATTTGCCTTAGCGTGTGACCCCAGCCTTCCTCCCACAGACCCCTAAGAGCCACACCCAGTGCAGAACGACCTCTCGCCTTCTCTCCCCAGTTAACCCCACCTGCTGCAGAACTGAGAATGATGAGTCGCTTGATCTCTAACCGAATCTGCAGGCCATCGCCTCTTACAGAACTACGACTACGGGAATCAGGTAGGGGACGGGCTGACATCTGGCCTTGCAAGACAGGCCCAGAAGGGACGGCATCAGACATGGGGAGGTGGGAGGCAGGGGGGTCCTGGGTTGGAGTCTGGTTGCCCACCCAGTAAGCAGCACTGAGCAGAGAACTGAGTAGGTGTCACTCTCCAGGGGGCACAAAAAGCTGTCCTGGGAGCATTAGAAATATGGATTCCAGCAGCACAGCCCATCAGGAACCAGAGAAACCTATCTGGCAGCAGGATACACTCAAGGGTGGAATGGCCTGGGTGGACTGCCCAGAGGTCTGCACTGGCCACGGCGTTGACTGGACCTTCTCAGCGGGTATAAGACCCAGAGACTCTTTAGAGACGGCTCAGGCTGCTTCCAAACCTGAGCACCTGCCCAAGCTCCAGGGCAGCCAAGGCTTCCCCCTCAGCCCCAGGATGGAGCTGCCAGTGGGAAGCCAGAGGGCAGACTTCCACTCTGTCCCCTTTCCTTTTACCGCACGTTGTTGGTCGATGAGGTCGATGACCTGTGTGCAGGGTCACCCATCAGCAGCCTCGGCTCCCTGAGTATGGATGGACACACACACTCACCATTCAGAGATGCTGGGATATGAAGACCAACAGGACAAACACTACAGTCCTGGGAGTTACCACCTCACAGGGCAGGAAAATGCCCCCTAAGGAGCTAAGAGACATGAGAGGCCAGCCAAGGCACAGACTACAAGGTGCCCCTAATGCTGTCCAGTCAGAAGGCAGGCACAACATCAGACGTCAGCCTTTGAACCAGCAGCAGAAACGGGGTTTTATGAGCTGTATTTTATACTAATTAACTTTCTTTTACCCACTTTTTCTAAAGCTACCTCCTCAGAGAACTTCGGTGGCAGCACATGGCTACTTCAGAGGCAGTAAAGAGCCTGGCACACATCCGGGGTGGGGGTGGCTGGCGCTGAGGTGCACGTGCCCTGTGTCAGGGTCACGAGCTCCCCATGGAGACAAGGGCAGGAGCGGATGGGAAATGGCAAACAGAGTGGCCTCTTCTGTTTGCCCCTTGAGACTTCCCCCTACTTCCCCCAACCCTGCCTGCGCCCCAGGAGGTGGACCGGTATGGACCCTCTCCTGGTCTCTTGTTGATGTGGGGAGTGGGACCCCCAGGCAGACTGGAGAAGAGAGAGAGCACAGTGACCGGGAGTGCGCACCTCCTGGGCTTCCTGCTGGGTCACCGAGGATGTGCCAAGTCCCCCAAACACGCCCTGTGCATTCAGCAGTGATCCCCAGGTTCTGCTGCCCAAGACCTCCCTTGCCCTGAAGGCCCAGGACTAGAGGTCCACACTGCGGCCAGCCCTGGCCTGCCCTCCCTTCAGTGTTTTCAGGGCACCCCATCCTTCTGATCTTCACAAACACTGTCCTGGAGCACAGAATCTCTCGGGTGCTCTGCTGCGCGGGCCCACGGGTGGACAGCAAGAGCAGAGGCCGGGAGGTGTGTGGAACGTCTCCGCTGGGCGGGAACACTGGTGCACATGGCAGCTGGGGACCCAGGGACTTGACGGGGCATCATTTATTAAGGGGCCTGTTTAATCTCCTGTCAGCCATTAGCATATTTAAACAGTTTTCATGTGGCTTCATCACTTTAATGAAAACTGCTGACAAGGATGGGAAGTTCTGCTTTCCACCGCCAGCCATGTGCTTATCAGCTGGCTTACTGCAGGTGTGAGCACGGTACATGGGATCGGAGAGCCAAGCCTCGGGTGACAAGTCACAGGGCTGCACCTTGACCCACTGAGGCATCTCTTCAGG